CACACACACACACACACACACATACCCATACACACATACACACAGATTAGGACGATTTCATCCTCAGGTTGTATTTTTTCCTATGACAATATTTCACCACTTGTTATACAGTATTCAGACTAAACCTGGAGTGCATATCCAGTGGTCACCTTTTGACCATGTACTGATAGTTACAAAAAAGGTCAAAGATAAACGTTTCTGTCAGTGGTCACTTCTTGACCACATACTGATTACTTGTTGTACGAAAAAGGACGATAAAGATCATAATAATAATAATAATAATAATAATAATAATAATAATAATAATAATAATAATAATAATAATAATAATAATAACAACAACAACAACAACACACAAAAAATATAATAATAACAATAATAATAATATGATAATAATATAATAAGAATAATAAGAATAAGAATAAGAATTTAAAAAATAATAATGATAAAGATAATAACATTAATTATAATTATAAAATACGTTCTACAGTTTTCCCTGTGCCCTCTACAACCATTATAACGTTTCTCCTGCCAGTGGTCAGTGTGTCCACCGTCCACGGTCCACTTACTGGAGACAGTGAGCCAGGCCTCCCACTCCGCCTCCCCGGTCTCGCTGATGGCCTTACATGTGTACAGTCCACTGTCCGTCAGCCTCACGTCTGTGGGGGAGGAGCAGAGGGAAAAGGTGTCATTTAATGTAGGTGTTAGTTTTAGTAGAGGTTTCACAGCCCTCGCACCTGTATAAGGTCATATGAGCGCCAGACGATTAGAGCTTTTTTAGTTTTAGTAAGAGTTTTAGTTTAGTAAAGAGTTTTCCGGCACTTGCAACACAATAAGGTCATATAAGTGCCGAAGATTAGAGGTGTTACAAGAGAGTAACAACAAACGTAAAAAAAGGAGGAGAGATAAGGACGATAGATGTTACGGCACTTGCAACACAATAAGGTCATATAAGTGCCGAAGAATAGATGTGTTACAAGAGAGTAACACACACAAAAAAGAAGGAGGGGAGATAAAGACGACAGATTATGTTTGATAGGAAAGAAGGAGCAAACCACACCAGAGCACCCGCCAACCACCCACGAGGAATAGAGATGTTACAAGAGAGCAACAAACATAAAAAAGAAGGAGGGGACGGATATAAGGACGATAGACGTCTGATAGGAAACACCCGCCAACCACCCACCAATATAATTAGAGAATATGAAAAACGAGTAAATAAACTACGGTAATGAACAATGAAAAGCATGATGAAACGGTTAACTGTTACTAGATGAATCTTTCAATAATGTGTGAAAAAATTATAAGTCGATAAAGCATGAAAGCAGAGGTCGTAATACAACTGGGAGACTGAAAACTGAAAACAGCTTTTAAAAAAATTACGAAATTGCTGTATCAATTTTAAAAAAGATATTTCATAGAAACAAATTATACGGGGTAAACAGAAGACAAAACAAAAAACAAAAACAAATGCTGAAAACAACTACTGTCTTGAAACTAAACGGATTTTTTTTAATAAAGAAGGTTAGCGGGTGGGGGTGGTAGTGGGGGGTGGTAGTCGGGGTTGTT